TTCTCTACCCTAGGAGCCTGGGATGGAGGCGGGGAGCTTCCTTCTGGGTGCTGGGACCAGCTGAGCTTCTCTGCCCTAGGAGCCAGGCCTTGACTTTTTGGCTGGGACAGTCATGGCTTCCCAGCTGAATTCCTCTGCAAAGAAGAAAGAGGATAAGTGAAAGAACATCCAGGTGGTGCTGAGATGCAGACCATTTAATTTGGCCGAGTGGAAAGCCAACACCCACTCAGTAGTAGAATGTGATCAAACATGGAAAGAAGTTAGTGTAGGAACTGGAGGCCTGATAAGAGCTCAAGGAAAACATATACTTTTGATATGTTTTTTGGAGCATCCACCAAACAAATTGATGTTTACCAAAGTGTTGTTTGTTCAATTCTGGATGAAGTTATTATGGGCTACAATTGTACTATCTTTGCATATGGCCAAACTGGCACTGGAAAAACCTTTAAAATGGAAGGTGAAAGGTCATCTATGAAGCATATACCTGGGAGGAGGATCCTTTGGCTGGTATAATTCCACTTACACTTCATCAAATTTTTGAGAAGCTTACTGATAATAGTACTGAATTTTCAGTCAAAGTGTCTCTGTTGGAAATCTATAATGAAGAACTTTTTGATCTTCTTAATCCCTCTTCTGATGTTTCTGAGAGATTACAGATGTTTGATGATCCCCATAACAAGAGAGGAGTGATAATCAAAGGTTTAGAAGAAATTACAGTACACAACAAGGATGAAGTCTATCAAATTTTGGAGAAGGGAGCAGCAAAAAGGACAACTGCAGCAACTTTGATGAATGCATACTCCAGTTGTTCCCACTCAGTTTTTTCTGTTACAATACACATGAAAGAAACTACAATTGATGGAGAAGAACTTGTTAAAACTGGAAAGTTGAACTTGGTTGATCTTGCAGGAAGTGAAAACATTGGTCATTCTGGAGCTGTTGACAAGAGAGCTCAGGAAGCAGGAAATATCAATCAATCCCTCTTGACTTTGGAAAGGGTGATTACTGCTCTTGTAGAAAAAACACCTCATGTACCTTACCGAGAATCTAAATTAACTAGAATCCTCCAAGATTCTCTCAGGGGCTGCACAAGAACATCTATAATTGCAACAATTTCTCCTGCATCTCTCAATCTTGAGGAAACTTTGAGTATACTGGAATATGCTCATAGAGCAAAGAACATATTGAATAAACCTGAAGTTAATCAGAAACTCACCAAGAAAGCTCTTATTAAGGAATATACAGATGAGATAGAGCACCTGAAATGAGATCTTGCTGCAGCCCGAGAGAAAAATGGAGTGAACATTTCTGAAGAAAATTTTAGAACCATGAGTGGAAAATTAACTGCTCAAGAATAGCAGATTGTGGAATTCATTGAAAAAATTGGTGCTCTTGAGGAGGAACTAAGTAGGGTTACAGAATTGTTTATGGATAATAAAAATGAACTTAACCAGTATAAATCTGACCTGCAAAATAAGACACAAGAACTTGAAACTACTCAAAAACATGTGCAAGAAACTAAATTGCAACTTATTAAAGAAGAATACATCTCATCAGCTTTGGAAAACAATAAGGAGAAGCTTCATGGTGCTTCCAGCAAGTTGCTTGACACAATTAAAGAAACTACAGAAGATGTATCTGGCCTCCATTCCAAACTGGATTGTGAGAAGGCAGTTGAGCAACACAATGAAGAAGCTCAGGATATTTTTGGCAAAAAACTAAAGAGTCTGTTTAATAATATGGAAGAATTAATTAAGGATGGAGTTCAAAACAAAAGGCAATGCTAGAAGTTCACAAGACCTTGTTTGGTGATCTGATGTCTTCCAGTGTGTCTGCAATAGACTCCTTTACTACAACAGCACTTGGATCTCTCACATCTATTTCGGAAAATGTGTCAACTCATGTTTCTCGAATTTCTAATATGATACTAGAAGAACAATCATTAGCAGCAGAAAGTAAAACTGTACTGCAGAAATTGATTAATGAACTTACAACAGACCTTCTACATTCACTGTGAACAGTTTTGTCCCTTACTGTGGTGTCTATATTGAAAATCAATAGTCAACTCAAACATATTTTCAAGACTTCACTGACAAAGGCTGGAAAGATAGAAGATCAGAAAAAAGAAATGGACGGCTTTCTCAGTATAATGTGTAACAGACTACATGAACTACAAGAGAGTACAGTTTCCTCCTTGGTCGAACCACAGAAGCTGTGTGAAACCTTAAGTGAAGAAGTGAAAACAATAAAGCAAACCCATTCACAGGAACTCTGCCAGTTCATAAATCTTTGGGCAGATAGATTCTGTACTCTGGAAGAAAAGTGTGAAAACATCTGGAAACCACTCAGTAGTGTTCAAGAAAATACAAAGCAGAAATCTAAGGGTATAATCAGCACAGCAACTTTTCACAGTAAAAAATTTTGTACTGATTTTGATGGCTTGTCACAAGAACTCAGGCATTTTAACCAAGAAGGTACAAAATTGGTTGAAGAGTCTGTGAAACAGTGTGATACACTCAACTCCAACCTGGAAAAAATATCTCAAGAAACTGAACAAAGATGTGAGTCTCTGAACATGAGTACAGTTTGTTTTTCTTAACAGTGAATATCATCCTTAAATAAAAAGGAAGAGGAACTTCAGAGCTTATTGGAGGGCATAAACAAATGTTGAGAGGCTTCAAAGTCAGAGATCACTGAAAAATTAAATGGACATAAAGCAGAAAATGAGAACCAGCTTGATATTTTTCTTAGCCAGATAAGAACTGATGAAGAAAATTTGTTAGCACGAAGTTTAGAACTTAATGAAACTACAAAACTGGGTCTGAGTAAGCTTAATTGCTTTCTGCAGCAAGATCTCAAATTGGATATCGCAACAGGTACAACGCCACAGAGGAAACGTTATTTATACCCATCAACACTGGTGAGAACTGAACCACGAGAACAACTCCTTGATCAGTTGAAAAAGGAAAGACCTGAGCTGTTAATGATGCCAACCCATTCAGAAAACAATGACGAAGAGAAGAGTTAGGTCATGAATGAAGAAAAGTAAGTTCTCGAGCAGTACATTGAACCTCTAAGTCAAAATCCACCTGCAGATGCCAACGTGGAGTGTTCAAGTGGTGGGGCTCCATTTTTCCAGCATAAAAAATCACATGGAAAAGACAAAACAGAGGCATTAATCCAATGGAGAGGTCTAAAGTGGAAGAAACGACAGAGCAATCTGTTATGAAGAGCAGATTACCACTTCGAGCCTAGAGAAATCTTTGGTTAATTTGAGACTTACATGATTTTAAATAAAACCTGAAGCCTCAGAACTTGAGCCTTATGAACAGATTAAAAAGGAATAGAATATATCAAGGCAGCTAGTAAATGTAGTTAACTTTAATATCTACTCATGTTTTGGTCATCCTTGTAATTCCCTGTGTATTAAATTGGGCTTCATTTGGGGATCTGAATTGAGTAAATGTTTCTAGCTTTTCAAAAAAAAAAAAACAACAAACAAACAAAATAAAGAAAATATTTAAAAGCACTCTTATTTCTATGAAAAAATAAAACAAAATTTCATAACAAAATAATAGAGAATAGCAATAGTAAATACACTGTGTATCATAATCTTAGAAGAATGGCCCAAATATTACTCAGAGTACAAGTCATGGACAAAAAAACTCTTTCTTAGAAAGAAAAAACAGATAAAAGCACAAAACTTTCTCTTCAATGAATGAACTAAGAAAAAATAGTAGTATTAAAATATTTTTGAAAAAAACAGAATAGATTATTTGGGGAATAATTTGGACTTCTCCCTGCTTACTTTTTATCTATTCTCTCTCTCTCTCTCTCTCTCTCTCTCTCTCTCTCTCTCTCTCTCTCTCTCTCTCTCTCGTTTCCTTGCTGTGCTATGTAATAAAGCTGCTATTTTAAAAAATGACATAAATAAATGCTGGACTAGAAGTCAGACCACAGTTCAAATTTCACTCTGCACATACATCCATAGGCAAGTCACACCATCATTCTGTATTGCTGTTCCCCCCACAAGACAGTAGGACATTAGCTCCTTTTGGGGGAGATTGTTTGTTCAGGGGCTGACTTAGGGAAATTCTATCTTTTTTCTATGTTCTCCTTTCTGCAGTTTAGACCCACTCTTCTCTCCTAAATAACAAGAGTAAAACTCATCCCATCTACCTGGAGATGATCTTCATAACCATTCACCTAGGGCTGATACTTCCTGGTCTCCATTCAAAGCTAAAATATAAAAAAGAGAAAATTAATTAAGAGACAAAAACATAGAGACAGAAAGTAGACTAGTGGTTATCAGGAACTGGACGAAGGAGGTAAGAAGTGTTACACCCAGCGAGAGAGAACCAACCAGAGACCGATATTAAATCCACACAGGAGTTTATTACCCGCTGGGACCTGAGCCGAGCATCTGACTGGAGCCCCAACTGGGGAGAGACAAATATGTTTTATACACCTTTGAGGCCAACAGTTTCTAGGTTCCCCTGTGGGATAGAACTAGTAAAGCAAGCAAAAGGTACAGAAGCGGAATGTCCTGCTGTTAGAACATTTGTAAAACAATAGTTGATTAATTGTTATTTCTAAAGGGACCTTTTAAGGGGAGGAGGTTTCTAAGCTTCCTCCTTCTTAGTTCATCTAAAGGACCGGCAGGTGGGTCAAGCAGCAATACGGAGTCTGTCTTGTTAACTAGGGTCCTTCAGAAGGAGGTCCTGTGTAATGGGGGCTGATTTTCAGCTTGAGGTGATTAAAATGTTCTGGTGATAGTTACACAACAATGTGAATGTAATTAATGCCCTGAATTATATACCTGAAATGTTTAAAACAGTAAATTTTATGTACACTTTACCACAATAAAAAAATTGATAATTCAAATATATTAATGGGATCTTGAGTTTCAGTTTTGCAAGACTGAGAGATTTAGGTGATTGATGTTAGTGATGGTCATACAACAATATAAATTTATTTAATAGT